TTACGACCACTCTTATTTTTTTACAGACGTGATGGGCCAAGTTATTGATTTGGGAGAGCTAAAAACAATTCAGTGTTCATGCAAACCAAGGATGAAACCTGAGTTTACTCTTGAAGACATCAAGTAAGTGCATGTTTTCAATTTAATTTGCTGTATGTTGATACTACCAGCGATGAGTAAAACAAATTTCAATTTAATTCGCTTACAATGAGTATCTTCACGAGTAAAACAAATTCAATGCAAGAAAGAGAGTTTTACCAGATGAGAAGCTCAAAGAAACGGAAAGCGGACTTTAACAGGTAATATCAGGAACAAATCTCAGGTGGGCTGCTTCTACAGATCAATGGATTCCCAGCAACACTACAAATCAAGAAAAAGAATGATTCATGATTAAATAAATATATGAATTAGTNAAATTCAATGCAAGAAAGAGAGTTTTACCAGATGAGAAGCTCAAAGAAACGGAAAGCGGACTTTAACAGGTAATATCAGGAACAAATCTCAGGTGGGCTGCTTCTACAGATCAATGGATTCCCAGCAACACTACAAATCAAGAAAAAGAATGATTCATGATTAAATAAATATATGAATTAGTGAAAATCACTGTTTTTTATTCATATAATCATATGATTACTACTGTTGTACTATGAAGTGGATTTTGACATGCATGTGAAGGATATATCAAGATCTGTTTATCGATTGAACAAAACTTTGAGTTCAGAAATAAGAACGAATAATGTTCAAAAAATAAAATAAATAAGAACGAAGACATACCTTTAGCTGCTCATCTTAAACGGTTTGTCCTTCGATACCTATTGTTGTGTTGGATCGGGGTCATTGTAGTTCTTTCTGATATGTGTTCCGTTTGTATCAGCTTCCGATCGATTGCTCTTCTTTCTTCGTCTAGATGCTGTCGGTAAGAGAAGGGGAGAAGGTAAAGTTGTCGTTTTCTTATTCACTTAACTAAACTGATTTTTTTTTTTTTTTAAAAACGTCACATATGTTGATGATTGATGAAAGAAGTCACAGGTAATACACGGCCCATTGTTGATGAATGTATGTTGGGTTGAAATCTACAACAACCCATTTGCCTGGAATATGTTTTTTGTATTTTTCAATATTCATTAAGAAGCCCACTTTTTAATTTTATAGGTTAGATTTAAGGATTTAACAAATTAATATAATTATTGAACAAAAAGAAACAAATTAATATAAAAAAAATTACCAATAACAAAGAAATTACATAAAAATTACTAAGAATATTTTTAAATTTTTTTTTTGAACTTTTAAAAATAATTACTATGAGTATAAATACATCTTTTATATCATGTTGACACATATAAGAATATCTTACAAACATAAACAATCAACACAATTGTAAATATATTAGATTATCTTATATATAAATACATAATCTTATAAATAAATATTGAACATATATATAAATACATATTTTTATATCATGTTGAACATATAAGAATATTTTACAAACACAAAAGATCAACATATTTGTAAATATTATATAAAAAATACATAATTATATAAATGAATTTTGATCAAAATTTTAAAAGGAAAAAAATACGGATCAAAATTTTAAAATCATAATCAATAGCTTATATTAAAAGCCCAAAAATATTTCTTACATGAACTTTGTAATAGTGTGTATTTTATTGAACTAAACAGAAATTTGAAAATAGTACGTGAACTTTACACATATTACCCTTTCATTCCCGAACTTTATAATAGTGCATATAATATTAACGTAAACAAAAATACTACATAAAATTTTAAATTCGTGTTTAAATATATTGACCGTCAAAAGTGTTAGTCATTCGTTAATTTATCGAAATGACATCATTTTGGATAAATTCTGTAAATTAAAATTAAATTTTAATGATAATCAAATGACCCAATTCAATAACGTAAATTAGGCTTGCTAAATAAAATTTTCCAAAACCTGTACTTATTTTTGAATGTTTTTTCGTAACTTGCTTTCATTATTTTTTATGTTTCTGTTAAGTAGTGTATTTATTTTAAAATATCGATGTAAAATTTGAACTTTATATTCAACTTTAAATCTCAATATTTATAGTTTAATTTCATAAAACCTACAAATATACTTAAAAACCTAATATTTTATGCTTTAATGTTTACTTTACCAAATATAATGAATAAAAACACAATTAAAAAAACATAATCTCATAGTTTATAAATGGACCATAAACCATTGAACAAGACACAAATATGTCAAAACTCAATAAACTATGAATCTATACAAGAACATAAATTATGTTTAGGTAAATTATTTACAAGTGAAAAACATATAATTATGAAAAACAAACACCCGCGCGGGTGCGCGGGTTAAAGGCTAATATACAATAAAAAACAAAGACCCGTCCAGTCGGCCGGGTTATGATCTAGTATATCTTTATTGAAATTACAGAATAGTAACGATATGGTAAGAAACTCGTGACCGTAACTGGACTCGGTGCTAATTAATTTTAAGAATTTTTTTGAAGGAATAATGTAATAATGCTCATAGAATTGGACGGTGGAGATCAGGCGTTGGAACAAATGGGTGAGATAAGGTTAAAATACAAAGGGTAATGCAGGAGTAGTGCTTCAATAAAAACAAAGTATACCAAATGATAACCAGAGCATACAATTCACGTTCATACTAATAGAACACAACCACTACCGCACAAAATGACAACAATTAAACAAAAAAGTTCAACCTAAATAATAGGTCCGAACTCTCTTATTCTTTCTATCCGAATGAATATTTGCCAAGAGTTAAGAACTAAAATTCAATAATGGTTTGCAATTTCGTTTAGTTCATTTCCCCAACCAGAGCGTTTCTGGTACCACTTATTATCAAACGTGTTTAAAGCATCTAAAAAAAAATACTATCTGAAATTTCTATAATTTCATATTTGAAGTTTCAAGGTGTTCTTTTCCAAAAGCAAAATTTTAAATTTAAATTCAAAATTATTTATATTTTACATTATAATCCTTATATTTGTCATAGTTAATGTAAATTCATAAAACATTGATAAATAACAAACACATATATATAAATTATATCAATATTAATTAATAAAATCTACACTAAATTATAAAATTATAAATACAAATACATGATTACCGCAAATAGAATACCACATTTTTGTTGTCCAATTTTAATTTTAAAATATTTTAAAATACTAAAGTACAAACAACAATTTTAAATTTATTTAGTTTTATGTCTAAAACTTAAATTTATAAAAGATAAAAGTTAACTTGAAATATTTATGATATATAAAAATATTTAAGGATTAAAACGATAAACAAAAAAATACTTATAAATTATAAATTTTATTTGTAATTGTAAGGATCAAAATGCAATTAAAAGATAAAACTTCAAATTTAGAATTTTGATTATTAAAATTTCAAATTTAGAAATTTTTTTCTCAAAACTTCAAATTTGAAGTCTCTTTTTGGAAAGCAAAAAATTTTATAGTTGAAGTTATAAAATTTCTTTTGTAGATGCTCTTCCGTTTGACTTCCTACTTTTTATTCTTAGTGATCTAGCTTATGTGACTTAAGCTCATGAGGAAAAGAAAAACCCTTTAGTTTGTTCATCTAACTAATCCAAGTGAATGACTATGAAGCTTAGGAAAAGAACAAAGCCAAGTCCATATAAGCATTTACACCACGAGAGCAATGTCTATCCAGAAACAAAATAAACAAATTCTTGCCGACGCCTAGATAATTGAACTATTCTTGTAATTTAAAGCATTCATTATGACCAACTCATACTAGAAATTTCGAAGCATGGTCTTTACCGCCTTCCCAGACATATGAAAAAAAAAAAGAAAAAAAATCGGTGAATATCCCACGTAGTTCATGTCACCACAATATATTTAAAACTTTCTAACATATCCAGCAACAGAAACATTATTCTGCGTAAGAAATTATCAGTGTCCAGAATGTAAAAAAAATGCCACGTGAACTCTAACCACCGCTTTACTGCATTTGGCAAGGAAGAAATTACAGAGATTGATGTTGAAGGTGTGTTTCACCCCATTCCAAAACCCCGTTCAAGAATTCGGCCAGTAATTTGAAGGTCGGTCTTAACGTAACACTCTTAGACAGTAAAAACAGTCAATGCCAACTTAACCACTTCAACTCGTGATGTTGGGAAGATCGGACGTTTAGTGGCGATTTGATGATATTGGATACACGTCACGTTACGATTCCCCTCTAAACATTTATAAAAGAAGGAGAAATGAGAAAGAGAGAGAAATCATATCTTCGACACCCATATTATACACTTTTTACATTCTGATTCGTTCTCAACCTCATATACTCTTGCTCAATAAAAAAGCATATACTCCCTCCGTTTTATATTAAGTGTCATTGTAGAGAATTTTTTGTGTTACAAAATAAGTGTCGTTTTCGGTTTTCAATGTAAAATTTATTAATTTTATTATGTAATTTGTTTTTCTATTGGTTAAAATATGGTTAGGTGTATGGGTAATTGTGTTTTTATATAGGAAATATGTAAAATTAATTGTTTCCTTAATCCGNGAATTTTTTGTGTTACAAAATAAGTGTCGTTTTCGGTTTTCAATGTAAAATTTATTAATTTTATTATGTAATTTGTTTTTCTATTGGTTAAAATATGGTTAGGTGTATGGGTAATTGTGTTTTTATATAGGAAATATGTAAAATTAATTGTTTCCTTAATCCGTGTGCATAGCTGTAGAGTGACACTTATATTGAAACAAAGGGAGTATTATTCATCGAATCATTACCAATTCAGTTAGGTTAAAAACTAATTCTAATATAGACCCCGTGGTCACCAATGGACAAGATCCATTTACCCCCATCTGCCTTGGGTCAGAATTTTACAAATCCAGCAACAGGTACAGCCACGGTCATGGCGAATAGCACCGAGCTTTTACCTCCATCTGCTTTCATTACACGACAAATATAGGCACTATGACCAGTGATATCCGATCTAATGTGTGGTTTCTGTTTGTTTTTTGAATCACAGGTTTCTGTTTGTACGCATCATTGATACCTAAGTAGTTTGATCAGCAAAGACTATGAGTTCTGTAAGCAAAAGCTAGTGGGATGTACCTATATATAACGTAAAAGAGGAGATACAGAGACTTCGAAACATTTGGCACTCAAATTTCAGGGAACTTTGTTTTCTTTTTGGCCTACCAAAGGCGAGTTAGCTAACTTTATCGAACACATGATTCCATCCACTCATCCAGAGTCTAAATTCAGCCAGTTAACTAACATTTGCTAACAAGATTCTGAACTCCACAAACAACTTCTAGAGGTCTATTCCCTACTTGTCATCATGAGATTTAAACAGCAGAATCACGACCTTCAACTCATGAAGAATTATGAAAGTTCTCTACAACATTGAGAAGTAAGGAAACTAAAACAACTTCAGCCACACTGAAAATATGAGACACAGGTCAGATGCAACAAAAGGAACAAGCAAACTATATGACATGTGGACTCTACCAGCAAGTACTTCCTAACAGCTAAGAACAACAAAGCTTTCATGTACTCATATAACACACATCACTCTATTTGCTTCTTACGTCACTTGTAGTCTCAGTTTCTCCTTTTCTTCTTCTTCTCCTCTTTATCCGCAGCGTCTTCAACTGTTGAAAAAAAAACAATCAATCAATGGAGTTCTACTAACAGAACAAAGCAACGTTACTTAATACCAGAGACAATTGAGCTTTTACCATAATGATGAGGATACGAACAAACACAGCTACAAAATCGGTGAAAAGGGTCAACGAATGTTTCACATAATCCATATCACCAAGATGTGCTTTCTCGATAATCTCTTGTGTGTCCACCACCATGTATCCCACAAAGATTAGAAGTCCAAAATAGAGCTGCAACAACAGATCCATAACAATGTGAGAAGTCTATAGAAGATTGAATTACAACAAAAAGAAAGGAGGACGTCTGGTGTTACCTCAAACTTAAAGATAGACGCAGAGCCACCAAAGACGGAAGAAGCAAACTGAAGCCACATAAGTATGGACAAGCCAGACGAAAGCAGTCCTCCAAGGTAGAGATACTCTCTGCGTCTCGCAAGCATCGCTGCTGCCGAGAAACAGATAAATGCAATCGCAGTTCCAACAAACGCAGTGACAAGGATGCTGAAAAAAAGAAAAAAGACAATACCCAATCAGCTCTAAGATAAGTCACAAAACCCAGAAAACAAAATGATGATAACAAGAAGTCAGTCACCTCGGGTCAAAATCAACAACCACTTTAATCAATGGACCAACAGAAGCACCTTCAAGAACCGCAGAGAGGAACAGAAGTGAAAGCCTCTTCTGCTGCAAGAAAATATCAAATGTCTTAGAAAAGAGATATAACCACAAGATAGAAACGCTGAATCTAAGTAAGTAAGTAAAGACCAACGTACTTGTTGATAAGGAGGACACGAAAGCAGCCAAATCATGGTTCCAACGCATCCAATGGTTGTGAGGATACCACCGATGTTCCAGAGCATGTGGAGGTAAGCTCCAAAGGCAGATGCAACAAGAGCACAACACAGAGTCAGATAAACCTGAAAAATTCCATCAGGAAATACAAAAAGTCAAATCAATAACATCATTATTAGCATCTTTGCGAGAATAAGTTTCTATTTAGAGTAATAAAAAAAACAATCATGAAGATTAGAAAAGCTAATCAAAGAGCTAGTAGAGATAAAACTATGCAATTGGGAACCCTAATAATACGATCGAAACACTTTTGTTCGTTAATACAGTGAGATAAAACCAAAATCGAAGCGAATCTGAGAGTAATAGTTTAACTATGGCCACTATTCTACCAATCAAGAAACTTATAGTTTATGAGGGGGGGAGAAGAAGAAGATACCCGCTTAAGATGATTCTGAACGGAAGGAGAGATCTGACGGAGGTTCTTGAGAGAATCACAGCTCCAGCTTCTGCTACTGGTTTGAGAATCGAAGAAGGACGTGAACGAATCCATCGTCTTGTTTTCTTTGGTTTTGAGAGAGAAATTCAAAGCGTAAACCAGGAGATTAGAAGACTCGATATTTATATAGAGCCTTAAAGTTTAGAGAAGAGTTGACAATAATACCCTTGCGGCTTCGCATTTCCGGAAACATCTTGAAACATTGAGGTCGTCCTCGCATTTCGTTGAAACTTTGCCGCGAATCTAATCAGATACGTCTTTATCGTCATAGGCACCAATAAGAACTATCCACGTGATTCTTTTTTCCTGATATACACGAGGTTTTTTAAAAATGTACACAAGTTTTCTACTTGCAATGCCAATACTTCTCGAGCTTACAAATTATTTTCTTTTCAGTGGTATCATGTAATATGGAGTTTAGTATTTGGAGATACAGTATCGGTAGAAGCTAAATTAGATAATTGCCTGACAGTTGGGCTTATAATTGAATGATGGTTGACCAATTTTTTTTTTTTTTTGTAATATTTTTGTTTATCTACACATACCATTTCTTCCTATTACTAATTAACTCTAGTCTACCGTATAATCTTTCATTTGAAACGCAGAATTAGCTATTTTATATAATAATAGAAAAATCATTAAAAGATCAAGTCAATTCGTATAATCATTCTTTGAGTTTTTTAGTTATGGTTTTTACTTCACTTTGGGCTTGAGGCTAAATTGAATTGGGCACCTATTTCATATATAAAAGCCCATTGATAATCTCATTTTCATTAGAACACCAAAACGTCACGTAGTTTCTCTAATGAAAGAAAAAAAAAGAACAAAAACGACGTACATTTCACGCGACTAACGATGTCATATCTTTCACTTGATCACTTCCTTCAAAGCTCATTTCAAACCACACATTCAAAAACAAAACCAACTCTGAAAAACTGAACAGAGGAGAGAAGAGGGAGAGGAGTGTGCCTGTGTATGTGTGAGGAAGCAACAGATGTCCATATCAATGGCGTTATTCTCTCCTCCGATCTCTTCTCCACTTCAAAACCCTAACCTCACCCCCAAGTTCTCACTCTCTCTCCTCTCCACCAGGCGCTTCTCTCTCGTCTCCCTCACTCGAGCCTCCTCTTCAGAGAACGGCACATCAGCACCCGCTTCTGCAACCACCGTGGAGATTCCGAAGCCTGCTTCTGTCGCTGTAGAGGAAGTTCCAGTAAAATCTCCATCTGAAAACGGCGCCGTTGGAGTTGAAGATATTGACTTGACAACCACGACGACGACGGAGATCAAGTTTAAGGATGCGAAGTGGGTTAATGGAACATGGGATCTGAAACAGTTCGAGAAAGAAGGCAAAACTGATTGGGACTCTGTTATCGTTGCTGGTTAGTTTTTTTTCTACTTCTTCACTCTTGTAATAATTTACAGTAATGTTTTGTCACAATCCTAGGAAGAGAGTTTGAGAAAAATGGTTTTAACAAAAAAAAAAAATGGTTTGGTTTACTACAAAGCTCTCTGCTTTAGTTTTGTAATAAGTATAGGAAGATGAGTGATTGTTGTGTAATTAAAGTGTGCTGTTTCTGTAATGATAGAGGCAAAGAGGAGAAAATGGCTTGAAGATAACCCGGAGACAACTACAAACGACGAGCCTGTACTCTTTGATACCTCAATCATTCCATGGTGGGCATGGATGAAGAGATACCATCTACCTGAAGCTGAACTCCTCAATGGTTATTTTCCAAAACACTATTATTGTCCATGATAAAAGATCCAAATATTATTTTTAATTTGAAGTGGCTATTTTTTTTGTTTGGTTTATCTTGTAGGTCGTGCGGCAATGATAGGGTTCTTCATGGCTTACTTTGTTGATAGCCTTACGGGGGTAGGACTTGTGGATCAAATGGGGAATTTCTTCTGCAAAACACTCTTGTTTGTGGCTGTAGCTGGAGTTCTTTTCATCCGCAAGAACGAAGATTTGGAAAAACTCAAGGGTCTGTTTGATGAGACTACGTTATATGACAAGCAATGGCAAGCGGCATGGAAAGAGCCGGAGGAATCATCATCATCATCAACGGTTTCTTCAAAGAAGTGAAAAAAAATTTTATGGGTTATGTTTCCTCTTTTGTTATGTGTTTGTGATGATCAGTGAAAGTCCCAAAGATAATTTATGTATTGTATTACTGATCTTGAGATTGTAATCTTTCTGGCTTTAGAAATCTCTGTGAAGTAGTCAGTTGCAAAGAAAATTTGGGGAGGTCATTGACTTTGTAAAACAGAAGAAGACAAATGCAATTTCTAGATGGTGTAATTAATTAACCAAGAAAAACCTCAATAGCAACGTACAAAGTGTTAAAGGTGTAACAAGTCAACATCCAGTCTTGAATTTTGATTGTTCATAAATAGTATTCAGGAAGTTGGTTGTTTATCCAATCTTGAATGGACATAGTAACGAGACTTGGTTTATATCAAGTACCGAATAATATGTAACGAGACTTAGTTTCCTTTTGCTTTGATTACTGAGCGTCATGGATTACGTCCGAGTGTAGATGAGTTGCTTTTAGTTTGATGCTTTGAAACATGAGTTACGTGGTTAGATTCTCGACTATTTTTTTAGGCTACTAGATTCACAGATAGCAACAGAACATGGAATGATAGAGAGCAGAACGACAAGGACAACAGTCTTCACCACCGGAGGAGATGCAAGAAAAGATAATGAGCATTTGGATTTTTTTTTTTTTTTTTGTCAACAGCCCATTTACTCTAAGATCAAGTGGTAATCAGTCGAGTCGATTCTCCGAGGAAAAAATCTATCTGGTCGGATCTGATCTATAAGGGAAAATAAATAACCTATACTCCTTGTTTATTTAGCTAATGCATCCGTTCGTACATTTCTATTCCACAGAATATGAGACAAATTCACATCCTCAAAGTCTTCTCCTAGTCGTTGAAACACCTCGATTTTTGTTGCAAAAGTCTACCAATTCTCCGGTCTAATAGACATGTCCAATAGATCCGAGCAATCCGTCTCAATCCGTATCGAAATCATCTTCAAATCTCTCATACATGAGATTGTTCACAGTAGACCTTCCATCTCGATATGCAAAGTTGATAAATTTCTTCTATACACCCGTAATCCAAACCATTCAGAATTCATTTGATCTTTGAGACTCCATCATAAACCATTGACACTGCCGTTTGGATTACATAGACAATAACGAGGCTCTTGATGAACTGATCAATGGCGTCAGGGTACCTATAATAACTTTATTTCCGATTTTGCCCTCTTTCTCCTTTTCTTTCTTAGTTTTAAATCATTTGAAAACAAAAATCCAACGGTGAAAAAAGAAAAATATTCGGTCCGAAACCAGACAAAACACTTGCGAAATAGAAAAAAAATATACGCTTGCGAGAACCAGATTCAACAGAGAACCCTAGAACTCAATTTTTATCCAGGCACGGCCGTCGCTTTCTCAATCTCACCGGTATAAATCGCCGGTGAAGGTGTAACATACATAGCTGTATCTGGATAATAGCTAGGTAGAGATATTATTTAAGGGGATTTTGAGAATCATGTATAGGGAGAGAGGCACGGTGAGTTCAAAACCAGAGGTTGTTGTTGATCGTAAACGAATCAATCAACCTCTTCAACGTCCTTCTCCGTCAACTTCCCTTCAAACTAACGGCAAGGGTAAAGAAACTTTCTTGATTGGGAAGCACCCGCTTAACGTTTCAGACGGTGAGAGATTTCTAATCATATATTAACTGATTTAAGCAAAAACGCTTTTATTTAGTCTCTGACGTAAACTGTTAACTGATGAAATAGATACAGACAGTGAAGAGGAGTCTGATGTGAGTGGTTCAGACACTTCATGGATATCTTGGTTCTGTAGTTTAAGAGGAAACGAGTTCTTCTGTGAAGTTGATGATGATTATATCCAAGATGACTTTAATTTGTGTGGACTCAGTAGTCTTGTTCCCTACTATGAGTATGCCCTTGATCTGATTCTGGATGTTGAATCTTCTCATGGTATGTTTCCTTTTTTTAGTAACCAAACTAGTTTGCGGTTAAGATTATTGTCTCTTGAATGTTTGATATGGATTGGGTTGGTAACAGGAGATGTGTTTACAGAGGAACAGAATGAGTTGGTTGAGTCAGCTGCTGAGATGCTTTATGGACTTATTCACGCTCGTTACATATTGACAACCAAAGGGTTGGCTGCAATGGTAAAAAAGAAACTATTTTGAGTTCATTTAAACATTCTATAAAGGATTCACTGATTGACTCTGTTTTTTTTTTTTTTTTTTGCAGTTGGATAAATACAAAAATTATGACTTTGGAAGGTGTCCTAGAGTTTATTGCTGTGGGCAACCTTGTCTACCGGTTGGTCAATCTGATTTGCCTCGTTCAAGCACGGTGAAGATATATTGCCCTAAATGCGAGGACATTTATTACCCTAGATCAAAGTATCAAGGCAGTATCCTTTCTCAGACCACCCTTTATATCTTGCTCACTTGCTGATACATATCTATAATGCAAGTTTTAAAGTATGATATGTTTCATTCTAAATGCATAGAGCAATCAATCATCTTGATAGAGTTTCTATAGATTTTGCAGCTGTTGTTGATCTTTGTTTGGGTTTTTCCTTAAAGTAATGAACAGACATTGACGGTGCTTACTTTGGGACAACTTTTCCTCATTTGTTCTTGATGACTTATGGACATCTCAAGCCACAAAAGGCAACACAGAACTATGTTCCAAGAGTATTTGGGTTCAAACTACACAAGCCGTGAAGGAAGTTTTAAGACAAAGAAACCCAAGAATTAAGATTGTGGCTTTGGATTTGAAAACGAAAACAAGAAGCGTTGTAATCACGAAAGGTGAAGAAGCAAGCAGTCTTGTTATTTGTCATCAGGTACATTCACATTAAAAGCAACCAAAAGATTTGGTTAGAAGAACAAAGAAGCGAAAATCTTCTCTTTGAGTTTGTGAAATTTGAACCTGTATGTTCCTACTTTTGTAATCTTTTTTTCTGTTTGCTTTGTTTTGTTTTTCATTGGCAGATGCTATAGGGGAGTTTAAGCATTTATCAAAAAAAATTATCTTTTAGCTCTCTACTAGAATATCGCATCAAATTTTGTCAACATTTAATGTCTAGTTTCTGTTGTCCATTTTTGATTATGCAATACTAGATCTATATACTTTATGGAGGCTCTGTTTCTTTTTTCACAGATTCTTTGTCACCACCAACCAGGAAGATGACAGGAACAAGAGAAAATAATGCAAGATGACAAACATTCATCAGTCATTGACGAAAAGATGACGTAGTGTTTGAACTGTAAAGGGCTAACGACGAAAGTTTATTGATATGTGACTTAAACTTCTACTGACGAAAGAATGACGTACTGTTTGATCTTTATCTTCGGGTCGACTAGGTGTTTCTTTCAAGCCCCTTGGATTTTTGGTTCAATCCACTATTAGGTCTTTGTTAGATTGACTTTAAGCTTCTTTTCTTTTGTCAAAACTCTCAACATTATTGATTCCATTTTCATTTATGGGGAAGTATGGAACACGTTAGTAGAAACAAAACAAAAAAAAGGAAGAAAAAGTGAGATACGACTCTTAATCTATATGTATAAATAATTAAATTACTAGTCACTCTCCCTCCATAATTTGCAGCAGAAAAAGAATTAACTTGCAAACTTTAAAGTGTGTAAGAAGAAGATGAGTACTTCCTGGAGTCGGAGGCCTGATGATGACTCCAGGTCCATCATGAGGAATGGAGGTAAGAAGAGTAGTTTGCTTGAATTTTGGTGCAATTATTTGGTCTTTAATCTCCCAATAAACGTTTTGTTGCAGAGTATAAGCAGAAAATAATGTGTATGAGGGTCTCTGAGCTGAAGATAGAGGGGATAGAGAGGGCCAGGAGAGTGTGGGGTTCTGATATCACGCACCTCGTCTTCTTCACCCCCTCCCACCACTATGACCTTGGCCCTGACTACCATCTCACCGTTCTCCTCGGCAGTCCCCACTCTGTTCGACCTTTCCCGTACCAGAAAGGCTGTTATAACGAGGGCACTGTCCTCCAAATCTTCTGGGACTTCGCCTCAAGAAGGCTCACCAAGTCCCTCCTTGTTTGCTCCGAGATCAGGCCCGTCAGGAGCGGAGGTATAAGTAATTAAGTAGTGGCCATTGACTAATATATAATATATATATATATATGTGTGTTACTTATTATTTTAATGAGTTAATCTATATTTTGATTATATTTGGTAAAGAAAACTGACTTTGGTCACTGTAAAACTTGTGATGGAACTTCCATATGCTCGCACTAATTCATGTTTTAAGTAATAACTGAGGCCCGAGCAAAATGAAATATTTTGTCACATATACAGTATAACCTCTTTAAATTAATAATCTATAAATTAATATCTCTATAAATTAATATAATTTCATAGTCTCAAATTGAATTTTTGGTTCAATTAATATCTCGATAAATTAATAATCTCTATAAATTAATAAAAATATTAGTTTTAGTGTAGTCCCAACATTATTAATTTATAGAAGTTTCACTGTATAAGTTTTTAAAAATACTAATAAAAGATATTTAAAATATATTTTTAATGATTTTATTAAATTAAATTGTAAAAATATTTTTACATTTTATATGGTAAATTGTTTAATTTATATGCTATTAAAATAAAATTATATTTTATATGAATAGCTAATAATAAAACTTCATATTTATATGATTTTTAAATCATTTGTATCCTGTTATATTATAAAATCTAAACTGTTAATCACAAAAATTTCATTGTGCAACTTTTAACAATTTTAGTAATTTTTAGATTTTAAATTATTATTTTTATATATTATTAATTAGTTTCATGGTTAGCTTAATAAGAAATATAGTACATGTATTGATAGACCAACCTCTTTTCTAAACAAATTCTAAGAATCGCTCTAACGATGACATATGGTATAGTTTGGATGCGGTAATGCTTAATATATATAACAAAAATGTTTTGCAACTAAGGTAATAACCCGCATCTTGAACATAGTGAGATATGTTATAAATAAATAATTTTAATATAATAAAATATTTAAAATATTGGATTTTAAAAAATTCAAATAGGATTCTAAAATATCAAAATTAAAATATTTGTTATATGGTATATAGTTTAATTTAAATCTTAAAACAGATATATATTTTTAATATTATATTTAGTAAATATTCATGTTCATATATTTTTATGATCACTTTTATCTTGTTTTAATAATTTATATTCGTTTTTTTTTAAATTTTCAAAATATAGCATATATGAAAAAAATTAAAATTCATATGATTAATGTGATTATTTAATTTATTTTAACAATATAAAATTAAATAAAATGATAGAAGATACAAAAGTTGTTAGGAAATCAATATTATTTAAAACCACAAAATGCATAAGTTTTAATCACACTAGGTAACTCATATTTTTTATTTTAAGGAAAGCATAAAAAAATTTATTTTAGATTACTAATTAATTATATGGTTAGTTTAATGAGCAGTATATATATATATGCTTAGATGGAGCAAAGAATGAATAATGAGATGAATTGTAATCACTTTACTAATGTAAATATATTTTTCTATAAACTTTAAAAATCATTATAGTGATAACACATACATTAGTGCATATGTTGTAATATTTTTGAATTAATAAATAAGAGTAATACTTATCTTACTTTTGTGAATTATTGCCCCTTCAAAATATTAGTTTTAGCTCGTGCCTCCGAAGCCATCAGTCATTCACGAAGGGCGTGTAATGACCCAAATCCAACCCATCAGATTACAGCCCGTCAAGACCCAGGCCCAATTGAAAATGTCCAAAATATTGGCTTTAAAACCCCACTTCTTCTCAGCTTGTTTTCTTAGAAACATCAAGCAAGAAAAAAAAGATTATAGAGAAAGTGAGAGAGTTAAGAGGAGTGTGATATTTTTGCAGAGATTGTATCATCGGAGCTAGTCGCCGGAGCAACCGCACGCCATGATCACATCCAGCCCGTAACCATCGATCACCAATCTAGGTAACCGCCGCAAAACCTTTATTTAACCTTTAGTCTCGGCTGTTTTAGTAAATCAATCATAATTCCCTAACTGTTTAGAATTTCGTGCATGCAAGGCCACCATCGTGTTCTACTCGTCAAGACAAAGCTGTAGCCGCCGACCACATCGCAAACGAAACCTGGACGAGGCTGCACGTGCCGTACAAAGTTGCGCCTCTTCTAGCGCATGAAATAAACGCGCCGCCATCGACCACCGGAGCAGCCGCGTGTCTCGCCCATTCGCCACTGCCTCCAACCACCGTTCGCCGGAGCCGCCGTGCCCCAGCCACTGTCCGTGCCCCATCGGGTGTCCGTCGCCGCCGGTGACTTATCCGGTAAGCCGCCATCTTGGTGCCGCCAGTGACCGGTCACCGGTGACTCTCTGGTTGACTCGCTGACTCAGCTGAGTCAATTCAGCGAATTAACTCGTTGACCGGTCTAATCAGTTCGGTTTGTTAATTGATTTCGGTTAGTTTAATTAATTGTGGTTAGGGATTAAACTAGATGGTTATTAGAAATTTATTTTCGGTTAGGATTGACCAGTTTATAATTAATTAGGATCTGGTCTAATTGAATTCAAAATCGGTTAAGGGAAAATCGATTGGTTAAGTTAAATTGATTTCTGGTCAAGGGTTGATCGGGTTGACATTTGACCAGCGGGTTGAATTTTTTGTAAATTTTGACCAGACCCGTTTCCAACTGTTCAAAGGATGTTCTGACTCGATTTTTTGTCCTGATTTCAGATTTGGAATCTATTTGAGCACCTGGAGTTCATAGATACCACTTCTCTTCATTGCTAAGGTGAGGGCTATCCGTTAAATTAAGAACTATTTTAGTACTACCATTATAGAAAGTTTAGTTTTAAAACATGTTATGTCTCTGTGAATTGAGTTTGTTTGAAAGTTTTGTTTGTTTATTTATTATTATTGATTGTTAAACCGGAATTAGGATAATATAGGATTCAACGATTGATGTTAAGAATTGTTATATATATGTATGTATATATATAAGAGTCCATGTGTGGAGATTTGCGGGGGTTCAGATACGTTTGTACTTACGACGCCTATGTTTGAGGAGATTGTGGGAGCACATGATGTATGTGCTTACGATATGTTTGAGGACATTTGCGGGGTGCAGACACGTTTGTACTTACGACGCCTTAGTGTTTGCGGGGGTACAATGTGGACTACTATACTTACGACGCATGTGGAGTTATATACGTATATGATATATCTTTATGAGGAAGTGTGATAAGTTATCATCGCATTGGTTGTAGCATGTCTAGTGCACTAGACATATGTTCATTTTTTTTGTGTGGTGTAGTAGACACCGTGTTTGTTTCATGGTAGAGCTAGGCCGACATTTTTGTAGTGCTATGAACTGAGTCAGTGGTTTGGTGGTTTATTATCTCATACCTCACTGAGCAACTCCCATGTTGTTCACCCCGCCTTTTCTTTTCCCTTTCAGGTGAGTCCGTGGAGCAAGAGTGATTCTCTCGAACCTGTGCTATTGAGCTTTTGGGCTCCTATCGTATTTTATCGTTATTGGGCTTATAAGACCTTGGACTTTTATCGTTTATGTTATTTCCTATTTCAGATTTTTGGAATATGTTGTTATTTATATTTCGGATGTTATGTTGTATTATGTATTTTTGACGTGGATGTTGATTTTTAGGTATTTTGTAATAGAGATTTTTGTTATTGTAAAAATACTATCTCTCTCCTTATCCTCTCCCACTAAAACAAAAACTCAGATCTACTTTGGCTCCGGCGCGTGGAGGTGACGGCTTCGGTCGGTGCGGGGTTAGCTTCAGCGTCGGAGGCACCCCTTATTCTCTTTGTCTCTCGTCTTCCTGTTTGCATCGATGTTGCGTCCATCTCTGTCCTCGTCTTGTTCGGGCCTTTTGCCCCTGGAGTCGCATCAGTCTCGTCTCTGGTCGACAGGAGATCCGGTTCTGGTGTTGTTCAGCTGGGTGGTGGAGTTTTGACGTGGGGATTGTGTGGCTTATGAAGACTGGGTCAGCTTTTAGGGTTTGGCAGGGGGTTCCTTTAAGCTCCTTGTAGGGTTGGTGGGGCGTGGAGGAGCCAGGTCAGCCTTTCCGTCGGATCTCGAATACGCAGGTTCCGACCAGTCTCTCTCTTTTGGTGG